AAGGCATACAAAAAACGGTTTGCTCGATGAATCTGGAATACCATTTTTTCGTTTCTATAGAATACTTATAAAATTGATATCAAATGTTATGGATTTTTTTCCTTAATCCAGGTTTAAAATTTTTTTTCAGTCAGTTGAATAGGGACAACGTGGGATTGGATGAAGTGGCAACTTGTTAGGGGATTTGTGGGAATTTTTAGTGCAGCCCAAAACTGGGGCATCAGTCATATTTCACTTCTTTTTAATTTTTTTTTTTACATTGAATGAAATATTTTAAAAATTGGTATTAAATTGTAGGATATTTATTAATTAATCCATGTCTACAAAGATTATACATTTTGTTGAATAGAGCGAAGTGGAGGTGCAACCATGTCTTTGGCGTATCCTTTGAAAATTTACGTCGTCCAGAAACCGGTTTGCTTGAGGACTGTGGATTTCAACTTTTTCGCGTCTATAGAATAGTTATCAAATTGATATCAAATGTTAGGGAATTACTTGCTTAATCCATGTTGAAAAAAATTTTTTTCAGTCGGTTGAATAGGACTTGTGATAAGGGATTTGTTGGAATTTTAATAAGGCCCAAAACTGGGGGATCAGTCAAATTTCAATTCTTTTTATTTTTTTCCATTAAATGAAATATTTTAAAAATTAGTATTGTAGGAAATTTATCAATACATCCATGTCTACAAGGATTTTTCATTTGGTTGAATAGAGCAAAGTTCAGCTTTGACAATGTCACTGTTGTGTCCTTTAACAATTAAGGTGTCCGAAAACCGGTTTGCTCAATGGGTCTGCATTTCTTCTTAATTTCTTGCTTAATCCATGTATAAAAGAATTTTTCCAGTTGCTTAAGTATGGAGAATATGGCGTTTGATGATACGTCGACTTGTGTTAGTGGATTTGTTGGGATTTTCATGAGGCCCAAAACTGGGGATCAAAATTTTTTATTCATATTGATTTTATTATTAATTATGTAGTTAGATGCGTAAGATAAGAAAAAAAAATAATCAATTTTTTTCATGCAAGATATATGCCTTAAATCAGATATTGAAGATTGCAGTTTTAGGCCCTAGTAGTAATAGAAGCCTCAAAAATGCCGATTTCCAAAATTTTTTATTTGTACTCATTTTATTATTGATTTTATAAAGTTAAATGCATAAGAAAAGAAAAAAACAATTGCAGTCCTTTTCGTGCAAGACATATGCCTTAAATCAGACATCGAACATTGCAGTTTTAGGCCCTAGTAGTAATAGAAGCCTCAAAAATGCCAATTTCCAAAATTTTTTATTCATATTGATTTTATTATTTCTTCTAAAGTAGTTTGATTTGTAAGAAAAAAAAAAAAAAACAATTGCAATATTTTTTAAAAAAAGATATATGCATTAAATCACACATCGAAGATAAATGCCATTTTAGCTCCTAGTAGTAAGAGAAGAAAAGATGACTCAAAAATGCCATTTTCCAAAATTTAATTTTATATTGATTTTATTATTGATTCTTATGGTTTGATGGGTAAGAAAAAAAAAAAAGATTTCATTTGCAATCATTTTCGTGCAAGATCTAAGCCTTAAATCAGACATCGAAGATTGAGGTTTTAGCCCCTAGAAGTAATAGAAACCTCAAAAATGGCGTTTTCCAAAATTTTATTCATATTGATTTTATTATTGATTCTAATGTAGTTTGATACATAAGGAAAAAAAACAATTGCAATCCTTTTCATGCAAGTATTAAATTGTGCGGAATTTGTCGATTCATGCCTGTCTAGAAGGATTTTAAATTTGGCCTAATAGAGCAAAGTAAAGCCTCGATGATGTCGCTGCTGTGCCCATTCAAAGTTTACGGTGTCTGAAAACCGCTTTGCTCAATAAGATTGCATTTGAACTTTGCTCCTCTATGGAACCCTCATAAAATTGATATGAGATTGTGTGGAATTTCTTGCTTAATCCATGTACGAAAGAATTATTTCAGTCGATTGAGTAGGGAGAAGGAAGCCTTCGACGATATAGTAACTTGCGTTAGTGGAATTGTGGGATTTTTCAAATTGCGGACCGTAACTGGGGATCACATTTTTTTTACTACTTAAAGTTTTTTCCAGTAAGTGAAATAACTGCAAAATTGGTATTAAATTGGGCTGAATGTCTCGACACATGCCTGTCTAGAAGGATTTTAAATTTGTTGCTTAATGGAGCACCAAAACTGGGGGATCAGCATTCACTTCGACCATAGATAAATCACTTTCAAATTGGTATTAAATTGTGGCCTATCCATGTGATAGGATTTTCATTTACTAGGGCAAAGTGCAAAATCGACCATTTGCTGTGATAATTCAAGGTTGAAAAAAAGAGTTTGCTCGATAAGATCGCATTTCAACTTTGTACTCTCTAGAGAATCCTCATGAAATAGATATCAGATTGTGAGGAATTTCCTGCTTAATCCATGAGTCAAAGAATTATTTCAGTCGCTTGTGTAGGGAGGGAGTGACCTTCGACGATACGGGACCTTGTGTTAGTGAATTTGTTGGAATTTTCATGCGGACCAAAACTGGGGGATCACTCACATTTCACTGCTTTATAACTTTTTTCCAGTAGATGAAATCGCTTCAAAATTGGTATTAAATTGTGCGAAATTTCTCACTCTATCCATATGTACAGGCATTTGTCATTCGCTTTTCTAGGGCAAAGTTCAGCTTCGACCGTGTCGCTGCTGTGACCGTTGGCAATTTACGGTGTCCGAAAAGCGGTTTGCTCGAAGAGATCGCATTTCAACTTTTTCCTCTCTAGGGGATCCTCATGAAATAGATATCAGATTGTGAGGAATTTCCTGCTTAATCCATGAGTCCAAGAATTATTTCAGTCGCTTGTGTAGGAAGGGAGTGAAGTTCGACGATACGGGACCTTGTGTTAGCGAATTTGTTGGAATTTTGATGGGGACCAAAACTGGGGATCACTCACATTTCACTGCTTTATAACTTTTTTCCAGTAGATGAAATCGCTTCAAAATTGGTATTAAATTGTGCGAAATCTCTCACTCTGTCCATGTGTACAGGCATTTTTCATCCGCTTTTCTAGGGCAAATTGCAGCTTCGACCGTGTCGCTGCTGTCACCGTTGGCAATTTACGGTTGCCGAAAAGCGGTTTGCTCGAAGAGATCGCATTTCAACTTTTTCCTCTCTAGGGGATCCTCATGAAATAGATATCAGATTGTGAGGAATTTCCTGCTTAATCCATGAGTCCAGAATTATTTCAGTCGCTTGTGTAGGAAGGGAGTGACCTTCGACGATACGGGACCTTGTGTTAGTGAATTTGTTGGAATTTTCATGACCAAAACTGGGGGATCACTGACATTTTTATAACTTTTTTTAGTAACTGTAATCTTTTCAAAATTGGTATTAAATTGTGCAAAAACTCTGTCCAATGTACAGGCATTTTTCATTCGACTAAGGCAAAGTGCAGCTTCGACCGTGTCGCTGCTATAACCGTTGGCAATTTACGGTGTCCGAAACACGGTTTGCGCGATAAGATCGCATTTCAACTTTATCCTCCCTAGGGGATCCTCATGAAATAGATATCAGATTGTGAGGAATTTCCTGCTTCATCCATGAGTCAGAATTTTTCAGTCGCTTGTGTAGGGAGGAGTGACCTTCGACGATACGGGACCTTGTGTTAGTGAATTTGTTGAACCCAAAACAGGGGGATCACTGACATTTCACTGCTTTATAACTGTATCCGGAAGAAGAAAGTTGACTCATTTATTTTGTGCCCATTACCCATACGTGGCCGGAATATTTAACTGACCAAATTTCCTAGTGACTCTTTGGCTCATTATCCTCATTTTATATCAGATTGTGAAATTTCCTGTTGAATCCATGAGTCAAAAGAATTAAGCGAATATTTTTCCTGTGATTGTAACTTTTTTCGAACAACATTTTGAACCTTCCTCCATTTACTACCGGAGAATTCAGAGACTGTCACCTTTTAACGTCAGAATTCCTTGCCCTCCAAACAACTTTGATGAACCGTTCACTACCAGGGAACGCAGAATTTTCTTCACTGAATTTTGATGAACGTTTCATACACCTCTCTCGATTTCTAACCTTCACGAACCAGTTTAAAAATAAGATGACATTACACACACATTATTAAACCTCGCAGTGTTTTTTTTCCTTATTGTGTACGCATACACCTTTCGTACAAGAAGACAATATTCCAGAACCTTCCCTCTGAAGAAACCTTTCCCGCCTTAGCTATTTTGTTTTTTTATTTTGGCGCGGAACTTTAACATTCTACTAGTCACTACATAATACAATCTGCCTACTGGCTAAGAACAGCCTTTGCTTTGCTGATGGTCCCCACTGGGTGAGACCAAATATTTGTTATTAAAAATAAAGTTTCATATTTGTTTTCCACCAGACTCGTTTTGTCGTTTCTTCCTGCATATCTATATTTTACCATTTTTATTCATGTGTTAAATGACCCTTTTTCCTCACTAAAGATCTCACATTTATTATTTTTACTTTGTTAGTGGATTCGGTAGTCGTAAGTAGTGTCTGGCACAAGGCCACCTTTTCGTAGGCCAACACTGCATGCTACCGGGTCCTCTACAAAATTGGTGACATCCCGACGTGATTACCAGATAACGTGAGTTTTGAGGAACACTTATTTCTTATACAAAAAACAAACACTGTTTATTTCGGGTCAGATCTTAAATCTAAACGTGCATAAATTGGATAGCAGGAATGACGTCTGGTGAAGCTGAAGAGTTAGCGAGAATGGCCGCCGCCGTCGCTCCATTTCCCCCCTTTTTACGAAGGGAATATTAAGAATTGGTTCCTTCAAATGGAAGCCATTTTTATCGTTAGAAAAATCTCGGACCAGAAGACAAAGTTTGGTCACGTGGTAACGGCTTTACCACCCGCCATTGTGGATGAAGTGTCCGATTTTCTGGAAGCCGTCCCGGAGGTGGAACCTTACGCCCGATTAAAGGAGACTATTCTAAGGAGAATGGCCCGTACCGAGGAAGCGCTGATCCGTGAGTTATTTAGCAACTTAACTCGTGATGGTAGAACCCCTTCACAACTTCTACGTTTTATGAAGAGTCCACTAGGTAAAAACATTTTAAAAAGCCTGTGGTTGGATCGCCTCCCCACCACCATTATCCAAATTTTGGCGCCCATGTCAGAGAACACCCCACTCGACCAATTAGCGGACGCCGCCGATCGTATTTTCTCCCAACTGGATCACCAAACGATACCAGTACACAGTGCTGAAGCATCCAGTGACCACGGGTCCTTAGAGAAAGCTGTGGAAGACTTACAGCGGCAAGTTAGAGACCTGACATTTGCTCTAAAAAACCGTGGTCGAAACCGGTTTCCTCCCCGCCGTCGTTTTCGGAGTCGACGACGTTCGTCTAGCCGAGACAATGATACCCCTTCTTCTACTATGTGTTATTATCACCGTAGATTTGGTTCTGCAGCACGTTACTGCACTAAGCCGTGCAATTATACTGCGATCGCGGGAAACAAGACCGCCAGCGAGTGAGAGCGACTAATCTTGCTGGCAAGGCACCTTCACCGAAGCTTAGTCGCCTTTTCTACGTGTTAGATACACGTAATAATTTACGTTTCTTGGTCGACACCGGCGCTGTCATCAGTGTGTTACCTATTCGTGATAAAGCAAGTCTAAAACCTTATCAGCTCCGCTTACAAGCAGCGAATGGCTCCAGCATAAACACCTACGGTACTAAGACCCTTACCTTAAATATAGGAATGCGTCGTGATTTTACCTGGAATTTCACTATTGCCGATGTTCAGATGCCAATATTAGGTGCCAACTTCCTGGCACACTATGATCTAGCCGTTCGAATGAACAACCATTCTTTAACGGTTAACTTGACAAAACTATGTATTGTTGGAACCTACTCCAAACATACCACCACTGGTATCACCGTGGCAACTTGCCATAGTATGGAGTATTTGGACATTTTGAATCAGTACCAGGACCTCCTGCATCCTGCTGGGTCTATTGATTCAATCAAAAACCAAACGCCGTATTTTATTAAGACCACTGGTCAACCTGCTTTTTCCCGTCCTCGTCGCTTAGCACCTCATAAATTAAAATTCGCTAAGAAAGCTTTCGACGACATGCTAAGAGAGGGTGTTATTCGTCCATCCGACAGCCCCTACGCTTCCCCTCTTCACTTGGTACCTAAACCAGGAAAGGAAGATTATAGAATTTGCGTGGATTACAGAAAGTTAAATTCCATTACTGTTCAGGATCGCTATCCGATCCCCCATCTACACGACTTTGCTTCCGGCTTACAAGGAGCGAAAATTTTCTCTAAAGTAGACCTTTCAAAAGCCTACTATCAGATACCGGTAGCTGCTGCTGATATCCCAAAGACGGCTGTCACCACGCCCTTTGGTTTGTTTGAATTTTTTAAAAATGCCTTTCGGCCTATGCAACGCGGCACAGACCTTTCAGCGTCTTATGGACGAAGTCCTGCGTGGACTACCCTTCGTTTTTGATTATATACGATATTTTGATAGCTAGTGAGGACGCTGCCTCTCATAAGCGTCATCTAAACGATGTTTTTCAACGTTTGTCTCACTATGGATTCTGTTTGAAGCTTGACAAATGTGTATTCGGATCGGACCACATGGAGTTTTTAGGACATCATGTTGATGCTAACGGAATTGCTCCTGTAGCCGATAAGATTAAAACTATCGCTGAGTTTTCCGTCCCCGTTTCCATAAAGCGGTTGAGACGTTTTATAGGAATGATTAACTTCTACCGAAGATTTATTCCCAATTGCTCGAATATCCTGACTCCTCTTACAAACCTTTTACAGAAAAAAAATAAAGCGATAACACTGGAGAATGAAGCTTTGGATGTCTTTCGAGCAGCGAAAACCGCTCTAGGCAACTTCTCTCAGCTTAGTTTCATAGAGGACGACCCTCAGTCAGACATTTCCCTGACCACCGACGCCAGCGATCCGCTCATCGAACAAGTTCGTGCCTCTCAACGCAAACCCATAGCATTTTTTCCTAAGCTTTCTCCTGCACCACCTTCTCGCGTGAACTGCTGGCTATCTTTCGTGCTGTTAAGCAACACACACCTCCTCGAAGGTAGGTCTTTCGTCATCTTTAAATGTCCCATTATGTCTACTAATTCAGATAAATACACCTTTATCTGGACTACATCTCTCAATTCACCACTGACATTAGGTCATTAAGGGTACTAACACTGTCGACGATACCCTATCTCGACTGAGATGTTCGTCGTGCATACTGATCCAGTCAGGACTTGATCGCCGACGAACAGGAAGCACATAACTCTGAAGCATGTGTTATCCGACACTTTTTTGGAACTTCATGTCCAGCTCCTCCAACAAGGTCCTATACTGCGATTCCAACATCCCAAGGCCTTATATCCCTCCGTCTCTTCGTAGACAGGTTTTTGACCACTTACACGGACTCTCACATCCTAGCAAGAGAGCCACTGTTAAATTGATTTCGGACCGTTTTGTTTGGCCGAATATGAACGTCCAGATTCGTGAATGGGTGACTACATGTCTACAATGCCAGAAATGCAAAGTACATAGACACACGGAATCTCCTGTGGGCACCTTCAGCGAGCCTGATGCTCGTTTTACTAATATTCATCTGGACTTAGTTGGGCCTCTACCAATTTGCCAAGGATATCCTTACCTTTTGACGATAGTTGATCGTTTTTCTCGATGGCCTACTGCCATCCCTATTAAAGATACCACTGCGGTAACCGTTGCAAAAACATTTCTACGTGATTGGATTTCAATTTTTGGGACTCCCAAAGTAGTTACTACCGACAGAGGAGTACAGTTCCAGTCATGTCTGTTTAAGGAATTCACTGAACTCCTTGGAGCTAAACACATACGTACCACAGCATACCACCCGTGTGATAACGGATTGGTGGAACGATTCCATCGTACCCTCAAGGCTTCGCTGTCAACGAAGCATGATAATAATAATTGGGTTGATGAACTACCCCTCATCCTTCTTTCACGGAGAAACATTCTCAAGGATGATTTCAAATGCTCACCAGCAGAACTCGTTTTTAGTACGTCGCTGTCATTACCCGGACAGTATTTTTCACTGGCTGTAGATACATCTCCAGTTTCTTCTTCCTCTGTCCAGGACTTGCGCCTTAAAATGGCCAACTTGTGTTACACACCACCGCGGCACTGCCCAGGTAATATATATCACGTGAAAAAGCACTATATTTGCGTTGTGCTGAATTCAATTTCACGGAAAAGAATGAAAGTGGTTTCTTCACATTATCACTCTCCTGGTGTAATACGGCTCCCACACTATCAGCAGATGCGTCCGTAGTAAGAGTAAGTGTCGCTTCTTCACTATCCGAAACGTAAGATAGTTTGGTGTAATTAGCCAGGGCTTCCTTGGCATTATTAAATGCTGAAAGTGCATCGTCAGTTAGAATAATCTTGCTGTTCTTCTTTCTTTGATTTTTGTAACAAGTTTGTCAACGGAATCAGAACTTGCGAACAATGAAGTATGAATCGTCTGTAATAGTTTACTAAACCAAGGAATCTGTCGAAGTGTAGTTGGTTGTGGGAAGTTTTGAATAGCTCCGACCTTATGAGAGACGGGCGTAATCCCCTTCCCATCTATCTCATGACCAAGAAAGATCAGCTTCGGTACAGCAAATTCACACTTAGTAGGATTAATTTTAAGTCCGAAGTGCTTCAATCGCCGGAAAACCTGTTCCACGTGATAGGTGTGTTCTTCGATGTTCCTACTCGCAGTCAGAACATCGTCAATATAGGCGAATGTGAAATGCAAGCCACGCAGTACTTCGTCTATAAGTCGCTGGAAGGACTGCGCTGCATTTCTTAGACCGAAGGGCATTCTAGTAAATTCGAATAAACCGAACGGTGTAGTCACAGCAGTTTTGTGGATGTCGTCTTTTGCCACAGGAATTTGATGAAAAGCCTTTCTCAAGTCCAACTTTGTAAAAATTGACGCTCCTTGTAACGTGATTGCAAAATCTTGTAGATGCGGGATCGGGTATTTGTCCGGGACTGTTTGAGCATTAAGTCGCCGAAAATCACCGCATGGTCTCCAAGCTCCAGCTTCCGATTTCGACACCATATGCAAAGGAGAAGCGTATGGGCTGGATGATGGACGGATTATCCCTAAGTCCAACAGATGCTGAAACTCAATCTTAGCATTTTTATATTTATCGGGATGTAAACGCCGCGGAGGTGAATGCACGGGAAGACCAGACGTCTGTATCCTGTGTTCCGCATTGTGTAAGATTGATTCCATATAGTTGAACGGTGTCAGAATTTCTGGATATTTCCGTAATAAATGTTGAAGACCGTTGGCAGTGGGTAGGGTTGTACTGATACCTGCCGTTGTCAATTTTAAAGTAATTCCCTTAATTGCAATCTCGGTATGTTTATCTTCTAAGGACCGGGAAGACATGTTCATGGTGAGTTTAAAATGGGCCAGGAAATCAGCTCCTAGAATTGGTGACTTTACTTGCGCGATGGTAAATACCCAACTGAACGATCTACGTAATCCCAGGGTTAATGTAAGTGATTTTTCACCATAGGTTTCTGTTCGAGAACCGTTGGCAGCTTGGAGGTTGTATGATGTAGCTTTGGGCGCCATGTTTGTTGTAGGCGGTATCACACTAACCTGTGCGCCCGTGTCAACCAAGAATAGGTAACCAGAATTGGCGTCCTTAACATAAAAAAGACGGTTAATATTTTTTTCCCCGGTAGCGAACGCCGTCTTCACTTGCTGCCGGGAACGTCGTTTCCCGCTTGCTGTGTCGATATTCTGCCAAAGAAATTCGCGCTAAACCTGCAGGGTTTACGGCATTTATGTGCCTGGTGGGCAAACTTAGCATGATACCAACATACGTTGTCCTGATAGTTTTCCCTATTTCGTGACAACGATCTGTGTCTATGTAGTCGTGATTCAGGAGGAGTTCGATTAGTGAAGTTGCATTTCTGTTGTTGCATAGACTTCTGAATATCCTGTACCTGAATAGAAAGTTGTGTTAACCTGTCACTAAGTTTACGCATGTCGTCTGCGTCAACCACAGATGCTACTGGCTGTCTCTGGGTCGCAGCATACACAGGACTAGCTGGCTGGTTATCAGCTATTTTATCAGCTAGTTTTTGTAGTTCAATTTCGTCTGGGAGGGAAGCCAAAATTTGGGTGGTGTTCACGTGAAACTTGTCCAGCCAAAGCTGTCTTAACACTGTGTCAGACATTGTGTTGCTTCCTAATAGTACCTGCATTTTACGCAGTAGTTGTGACGGTTTACTTTGTCCCAAGCTCAAATTATTAAAGAGGTCACGCAGCTTTTGTTCCTCAGATTGGCCAGTTCTATGGAGTATAGCTTCTTTTAGGGTATCATAAGGTTTATCAGATGGCATCTCATCCAGGAGATCCGAAACCTCAATCGCTACCTCCGCCGGTAGCTTCTCTACAACGTAGGCATATCGGGAAGTTATCCTCTTGGCGTTG